TCTTTCCTCTCCCATATCTAGTGGTAGGGGTTAAAATGGAAGAAGAAAAGGGGTGGAGAAGGGTGGAGGGAAGAGGAACCCACAAAGTAGCAAACAGTGGCTGCATGTCCTCATGCTTGCAAAGCAAGTGCTCTCACCCACTGAGTTCCCCCTAGCTCCCAGCCTCATCTCTTGAAGGTTGGTCTCTTAGAGATGAATATTAGGACTAAACTGCTGCTGGTCTGCTGAAGACAATACCAGTGTCATTTCTGTGTTTTCTCATTATAGGTCAAGAACACCATCATGCAAGTGAACCTGTCCTCTAGTCTGCTGAGAGCATTTTTCTGCATGGTGTCTTTGTTCAGATACTTGACCCTTTGGAGACAGGTTTCAAAGCACAAAGCCTTAGGACTATGTAAGGGGGAGGGGCACACATTATGGGGACAGGTACAGTGGGCCATGGCCACCTGTGAGGCTGCTAACAATGGTTTATCCTATAACCTCTGTCAGGTTGAGACTGGGAGCAAAACCATGTGAGCTGGCACAGTTATCACAAAAGGCTTCCTTGAAGCAAACAGGGTTTAGAGACAGGCTTAGTCTGCTTTCTGTGAGCTGTGAGGGAGGTCTCAGTCTTGGTTTGTATCTTGGTTTCCAATCTGTGGAATAGGGCGGGGATGCAGCTTTGAGTGCTCTCCGGAGGAGAGGTTTAATGTATAGAAAATGCCCAGTACAATCAAATTTCCCCACCATAGTCCATACTTTCAGAAATAGGATTTCTGCAACTCTTTTTTAATGTGTGAGGCAGGGTCTCTCCAATAGCTCAGGCTGGTCTTGATCTCTCAATCCTCATACCTAAACTTCTAGTGTGCTGAGTTTACATGTGTGTACTACACATCTGGCAATGGGGGCTTGCCTGGGCCCAAGGAGGCCTCAGGTGGCAGTGGTTAGGCCTGATTTCTAAAAGCAGGATAGGATGGTTTATTTCACATCTGTCATGCTTAGGGGAGAAACCTGGGTCAGCATTTGAGGTGCTCCGGGTATGTGACCTTAGGCTTGTGAGCTTCAGCAGGGCACTTTCACACATGCAGAGAGAATTATTGGGAATATCAGAGGAAAATAATTTGTAAAGTACTCATCAGCTCAATCAAATTGCTTTTTAAAAAGCAACGATAAAAACAGGGTAGGAATCAAATTTCTGTAGCTCACTGAAGCAGGCCAGTGTGCACAAGGAGCAGAGGCCCAGCTGGAGAGGCTGCAGGGTTACAGGCCTCCTTCCTGTGTGGCTCTAGAAAGGATATTCTGTCTTGGGGAGCTGCAAGGAGAGAGCTGGCTGTGATTTATAGGAAAAAACCAGAAAAACAACAGCCCGAAACCCCTGCTTTTTGGAAACTCCCACCAAGAGGACATTAGTTAGCACCTCACATATTGTCCCCAAGGCGGGAAGTCAGGGCTGATGTCCACATATTAAACACTGCTTGCTAGCTTTTCTTCTCTGGATCTCAGTGGCAGGCCTCCAGCACTGCCACCTTTCAGCCTGTCACCCTTACATTCCTCATGGGTTACTGAATTGCAATGGTACCCTGGAATGGCAGTCTCTTCCAGAGAACTAATTAGGAAGGGTTCTGGGCCAGGCAACTGATAAAGCTGGGTTGTTTGCCTTGATGACACCTGGGCCAGCAGCCCTCCCCAGATCCTCAGGATTTATTTGTATGCAAGGGTAAATTACTGTGTGCATGCCTGTGGAGGCTGGAGAGCAATCATTTGTTCCCCAAGGCACCATCCATCCATCTTTTTGTTGTTGTTGATGACAGGAACTCTCACTGGCCTTGAGATTAGGAGTTAGGAGAAATTTGGTTCAGTACCTGAGGTGCTTAGGGCATGTGACCTTAGTCAGGCTTGTGACCTACTTACCAAGAAAACTAGGGTGGCCAGGCAGTGAGCCTTAAGGATCTGCCTATCCTACCCTGTCAGCACTGCCCTCAGGTCCTCACTGCTTATGCAGCCATCACTTTACCAACTGAGCTATCTCACCAAACCCTCCTATGAGATTTAAATGTCTGCCTCAAGGCACACAGCTCCTCACCCTGACAGGAAGCTAGGGAAGGAAGGGAGGAAAACACAGTATGGTCCTAACAGCACCAAGTCCAACTCTCTGCTGGCACCTGGACCGTGACTCACTGGTACAGAGCCAGACCTGAGCAGGCTTGATTGATGGGCAGACACCACACATCCATTCCCTGAGCTCTCCTCCTGTCTGTTCTATCCCCTGAGCACTGCCTACAGAAACAGGTCCCTTCCAAGTACCTCCCTTTCCAATGCAGGGTCATGGTGCAAACAGGAAAATAAACCATAATTTCAGTTAAAGGTAAGGATTAAAAAGACAGAGGAAAATGGTTTGGCAATTCTCAAAACATTAAATGACCATTTGTCTACTGCTAGGCATATGCTTTGAAGCTAAAACCTATACATAAAGGTTCCTACTTACAACAGTGGGGGACAAATTAGCAAAATGTGGTAGAGTCATGCAAGGGAACATAACTCAGTCATAAGAAGAAAGTGCTGCTGAGAAGAGCTTCTGCTCTGGAATCTTCACCTGGAGTTGACAGAAACACTAATCCAAGGGTGTGCTGTGTGAAAGCAGCTACTCAAAGGGCTTGGGCACCCCCTTAAGCAACTGCTGCCCACATGCTGCCTAACACTGCCATCCCCTCCCTGACCATGTGACCCAAGCTCTGTCCCAGAAAGCTGACCACTGGGATGACAAGAACCATCAACACAGAGCGGAAGATACACAGAATTTGTAGCTTCTTAGCCAAATGGACAAAGAAACACTTGAGAGTGGCTAGCCAATAACCCCTTAGCCCTGGCTAATCTTCCAAGTTCCCCAAAAAAGTGTGAGGCATACTTCCATCAAATATAAACCAATTTAGAGAGCCACACTGGCCTGTGCATCACCTAGGATACAGACAAAAAGGTGCCCAATCAAGTGAACCCTGAGAGTTGCCTATGCAGACAGGCTGGAATTGGTTTCTACCCATTGAATTGGTGAGAATCCCCTTAGCCTGAGCTATCATTTAAGAAGGTGGCAAGAGACATACATGGTACCCTGAGACCCCAGAAGGTAGCTGTGAATGCTGCAAAGTAGAGGCCAATAGCCTCCACCTGGCTCTCCTTACTCTGGCTTTTGCAAAGCTGAGGAATGCAGTAGAGTATGGGGGCGGGGGACATGTTATAACCAGCAGCTCCATTAAACTATGGCCAAGGTATCCTTGCTTGGGAGAACATGTCAGTTTGGCAATAGAAGTTAGGTGGTGGTGCTGCTAAAGATTTGGGTCCTGGTCCCTTTTGTTCCCCAGGCAGGCTAAGGCCCCAGATGCCTGGGGTCCTAGACAGGATATGCTTGTCTTCTTGGTGTTCAGATGAAGGAGACAACTTTGGATGGGACCTGCTCCAAGGCTGCCAGGAGCAGGTGCAGGCTTACACTTCATACTGAATCAAGATGTTGCTGGCACTGAATTGGATAGGTGACTAAAACAGTCCCACACAGTGATGTTCTCCATGTCCCAGAGACCACACCCAGGCACACCCATATGTCAGCCAGGTAAGAAACTGAATTCTATGGAGAAAATAAACCAGGGCAATGTGATGAGGAAGGGTATGGTCCTGCTCAATAGAGTGATCACTAAAGGCCTTTGGAGAAAGTAGCCAAGCAGCTTGGGCCATTCCTGGGAGGCAGGTCCCCAAAACCTAGATAAGGAGGGCAGGGCACTACGTCACAGCAGTAGTTCTCTAGGTGTGCCCTGGAGCCCACAAACAGTGAGACACCCCTTCTTTGTGTTTTCTTCTCTCCAAGATGACCAAAGAGCTTCTGGTGGTCACAAGAAGGCCACGCCTTCAACAGACTAGTGCAGAAGCATCAGGCAGTAAGATCTCAGAAATGTCAAGTCATAATTTATTTTTTTCAAAGCAGAGTTACCAAAGATCGCCATGCTTTTGATGTTTTATATGTGATATATTATCAAGGAAAGTCTCAAGAGTGGGATGGAGAATCACATTCATGGCATATAACTCTACATGTGATACATGCAAAGACATATATATGACAAACAAACATTTCTGCAAGGATATGTGAGAAACTGTTCACATGTTACTTCTGGAACAAAAGGGACTTTTACATTTTATCAAATCCTGTTGGATTTAAAAAATGATATGCTTATGGCATACATGAAATAAATAAATCATGCATGAAAGTAGATTAAATCACAAGTAGACTAGGTGTTGGATTTGGGCAGGTTGTCATGGCTTTTTGTTGGCCTGACATCAATAATCACTTCTGGGAATTTTCAAAATACTTGCAATTCAAGTTTGAGCCCTGTTAAGAGCAGAGGAGAGCCTGGCTAGTTTCCTAAGTTCTCTAACCAAGAGAAGAGGTTCATTCATCCCCACCCCCACCCGTGGGATCTGCTGCATATGGATGTATTTAGGTCCGCTCCTCAGAGCAGGAAAAGAGAGTCCTTTGTCTGAAGAAGTAGCTCTTTTGGCCCTTGAACTTTCCACTCAGGTTTCCCCTTTTGGGGGCGGCAGGAGGACTGGAGATAGTGCTGCTGGAATTAGGAAGAGCTGCTCCCAGACGGAAGAAGCAGAAGGCCTGTGGGCATTGGGGCTTCCTCACATGTATTCCCTTGTCAGGGTACCAGGAACCACACACACTATTTCCTAGTCATCTCACATGAAGGAAGAAATCTCTCTCCTGCAACCTCATTACTAATCAGTCATTTCCAAGAAATTTCCAAGAAACTTTCAGTCTTGATTCTGAGAAGTTTCTTCACAAACCTAAGAAATGTCTGGAAAACCAAACTGAAGCAACGGAACAAAGAAGAGAAAGCCAAGACTGAATTTTGGGTGTGTGCCTCACGTGCTCTATGAAGCTTGGGCTTCCAATAGCCTGAATTCTGAGAGGAAGGCCTCCAGCAGGTCCAGCAGAAAGGCACCCTGAGCCTCTAGCAGGAGATTCGGCTTACCTGGCACCTTGTCTACTGATGCAAACACAGAGCGCTGCACTGTGGGGTCGCTGCTGCCTCGGCGGCACTGGTCATAGAAACGGAAAGGCAGGTGCTGGGAGGAGCTGGAGCCGAGTCCAAATCCCAGGACTTCAGTTGTCGGCTGGATTGGGAGGTCCAGAAGGGCTATAATCAAACACCATAATTTGTTCGATCAGCATAAAGAACAGGGGACAGACAATTTGATTTGACTTGGGCAATGGGCTAGAGTGATCCAGCCTTGACAGTGTGATACTTGGGAGACCCCAAACAGTCTTGAGATAGGGGACTGGCAGGATGCCAGAGGCCCTAAGAACATTCAAAACACAACTAGGAGTAGGGGCCAAGAAGGTAGCATTCAGATAAAAAGATAGGGTTCTAGGTTTGGATCTTTGGATAGAGCAAATGCTGGGTCAATCAGTACTCTGAAATCTTTATAAAAGATCCTTCCCAAAGGCTTGGCCTCACATGTAGCTGCAGATCCTAGAGCAACTGTGCCCCAGAAGTTTTTGCACAGGCATACATGGACAGACAGACAGACAAGATATACAGATTGAGTGACCCTTCAGTAATTACAGGACTCCTCCCCAAAGATACGAAAATCTGTAGTGAAGCCTCTTACATAGACTAGCACTGTATCTGTACATGATCTGCATAGCTTCAATACATATACAGATTTTTTTCAAAGATTTCTCTGTGTGTGCGTATGTGTGCATGGAGATCAGAGGTCAATGCTTAGTATCTTCCTTGAATGCTATCCAACTTTAACAAGTTTTTCCTAAATTATTTTGGGTGTGTGTGTGTGTGTATATATATATATATATATATATAATGTGTGCTTGTATATGTACTAAACAGGCACCCTTATGTGGCATGGCACATGTGTGGAGGTCAGAGTACAACTTATAAGAGTCAGTTCTCTGTGTCCACCATTCCTGTGTTGCCTTGCAGGCCTTTTATCTTATTTTTTGACACAGGGTCTCTTGTTCAACCTCAGATCACCAGTTGTGCTAAACTAGCTAGACAATGAGCCCTAAAGGTTCTCTGGCTTCATCTCCCAAGGGCCAGGATTACAGCTGCATGGTGTCATACCTTGCTTATACATGGAGGCTGGGAAATCTAAACTCAAAACCTCATGGGTGAGTGGCAACCATTTTACTGACTAAGTAATTACTGTAGCCCTAGTTCTGATTTTTTAATATCTTGGTGGTGGAATCTTAACTATAAATGTGCATGAGAATACATGTACAAGAAAGCGTATGTATGTGTATATTTGTAGTTATGAGTGTGTGTTTACATGCCATAGCTGTTGTCTTCCCTTAAACAACGCTCGTGATGTATTAGTTCAGAGTGGCTTTTCAAAATCAATTTAAGAAATATCCAAGGCGTTCATACTAGCAGCCACTTTACAGCGCAATCCTCAATTTTCAAATGAAATTTCTGGCCTTCATGCCAGCTGTGAGAAACTGTTTCACATTACAGGGGCAAGGTCTGGAAATAAATCTTGAAAGGAAGGGATGAATGATTTACACTTTGCACATTACAAAATACTCCTGTAATGAGTGTGCAGGCCAGGTTTCAGCTAACTGAGAAATAAGAGGTGGGAATGACTCAGGTGCATATCACAAAGGCACACACAGCACCCATAACTGTGGTGTCCAGAAACAGAGTACACCCAGAGCTTATTCTCCTTCTGTTCCTCAAGAGAATGCTCCTCTTCACAGTGGGCTGAACATCCCCTTGGAAGCCACAATACAGAGACTGTTGGAGTCTGAGAGGAAGGGGCTAGGTTTGTTTGTTTGTTTGTTTGTTTGTATCTTTTGTGAGACAGGATCTCACGCCAGCCCAGGCTGGTATGGAACTTGCAATATAGTGAGGGACAATGACCAAAAACTGGCAAGCCTTTGGCCTCTACCTCCCAAGTGCTGGGATTATAGGCATGTGTCACTATAACTGGTTTGATAATGGTGCTGAGGATCAAACCCAGAGCTTTGTACATGCTCGGCAACCATTCTACAGACTTAGCCATAGCTCTAACCTGGGAGTCTTAAAGGCGAGGTTAGGACTACCCCTCCCATCCAGGACAATGTCTTGACTTCCATTTCATGAAATAAAGAAACATCCTCATTTCAGGGCCTTTACCATGAAAGCCTGGACAATGCAAACCCACTACCCCTGTAAGGTGTGAAATGACCTTGAACTTAGTGCTGGGTGCTCACTTCTCACCAGCACCTAGAGATAATAAGGGAGCAGAGAGAATGATGAGGAAAATTCTGCTAGGCTCTGGCAGCTCAAAGGCTTGTCTAGCATGTGTGAGGCTCTGGGCTTCATCCCCAGAGCAGAAACAAACAAACAGACAGATAAAATCAGAGTAGGAAGCTCTGCAAACTTGTTCTCTGTGTGGCTAAAAATTCACAGCCTTAGTTTCCCCTTGTACAATGGGGAGATAAGGTCCAGCCTAAGAGCTGTCTGGATACCTAAAATGGCAGAGCACAGTCAAAACACACTGTGACTGTACACTTGGGTGTTTCAGCACGAAGAGTGAGGACAGCTGTTGCCCACCAACCACCTGTTTCTAGCCTCTTGTCTATTAGAGAGGGCCCCCTTCTCTTCCATGCAGCCCTGGAAGTTTTCTCCACTCTAAACACCTGGAAGCAGGGTTGTCCTAGTCTTGAAGCACAGTGGATCCCAACTCCTAAACTTGTCTACAGGAACCCTAAGACTTTTCTAGGTCAATGTGAGCAGCCAACCCTGTGGTGGTGAGCCCCTGCTCTTGAGGTCACTCACCGGCTATCCTCTGCATCTTCATGCGCCTGGCCTGGATGCGGCCCTTTGCCAGGCGCTGCTTGGCAATGATGCAGCGGATATGATCAGAGAACACGAAGGTGGCCTGCAGGATGGGGAAGGGCTTAGAGTGTGGGCTGGAGGCAGGCTTGTGGATGGTGATATTCAGGGCACGGCTGTCATCCTCCACTCCTGTCACCTGCATGTCCTGCACAGAAGGCAAAGGCAACATGTTCATCAGGCCCAGGGGCTGACAGGTTGAGGGCTGTCAGTGGCTCATATAGAAAGACAATTATGCTTTGAGTCTGCTTTTGTTGTGAAGAAGGCCAAATCTCAAAGACTCAAGGGTGGCTGCAGACCAGTCTAGGCCTGACAGGTGAAAAGGAGCCAGTGCTGCTAGATGTTATGGCTGGCACTTCTTTCCATGAGGAATTGGGATGGCTAATGATGAAAGAGGCATACCAGCCTTTTCGAGGGCCACTACTGTCACAACAGGCAGACTCCAGTAATTCTTCCTTCTAGGAAACCAGAAGCCACAACTCTAAATCCTTGTCACCACCTGGTACCATATTAGACACCCTCTCCTTGTTCTCTTAAAAATGGGGCATTGTTTTTGTCCTTTGGTATATCTTTAAGGACGGCCCCTGACAGAGGGCCACCGGGACTATCTGGCAGAGACATCAGGCAAGCTGCATGTGAAAGGGAGAAAAGAAGACACTGACAAGCAATGAGTATATGAGGATTGGTTCCACATAAAGCCTCAGGATGGGCTCTGTGCTGAGTCTGCCGCCCACAAAGGTTCAAGGGCACATGAGATAAAAGCGTACCAGACAGAAGGTGGATTGAAAGGTCAGCCATGTTAGAGGAGGTGGGAACTACTGAAAAAGACTCAGAAGGAAGGGAGCTATTGTTCTTGGGCACTGTGTTTGGCTCTCTCCTTGGAAAGAAAACCTGTATCAAAGGCATCCAGCAGGTAAGGTGAGGCTACCATGAATTTAAACAAGGGAGCTAGGTACATACTAACAGTCTGACAAATAGTAGCTATTGTAGGGGCAGGTGGCTTTCATTGTCTGACAGAGGACACACATTAATCCTCTGAGAAAGAAAAACACTGTCCTGACCTTCAGAAATTAGAGTAAGCCTTGATGACGAAATGTGCAGGTCATCTCCTGGGCAGGGTTTTACACTGCAGTCCTTTTGGGGGGAAAAGCTCCTCCTACAGCCTCAATGAGAGACAGGAGGCTCCAGAAAGAGAGGAGTCTGGGAAAGAGAGGAGACAGGAGCAATGGCTTCAGGTACAGGTGCTTCCCATGGAAAGCAGGCAACAATTTGGCTGGTCAGTGCTGTGGTGAGGAGTCAAATCAGCTTGAGTAAGGTCCTTCTGGGAAACAGGATAGCATGGCAAGGAAATTACTTCCTAGAAGTAGGGGGAGCCCCAAGCTGGGATGGGTTCACTGGGAATTAGGGATAGGGCACAGTACAGACATGAAGTGGAAAGCTGCTCTTTGTTTGTTTCATTCCCTCTGCTGCTAGACATTCATCATGTATTGCACTTGTAAATACTGTGAAATCCAGAGCCTTAACTGATATGTGCTGCTGTAGAGCCTGCTGAACTTCGGGGGATCAAGGATGAAATTCTCATGAACTCCTGTGGCAACAATGGTGTTAGAGGAAGTTGGCAGAAGCAATGAACTCTTTAAATAGCTGAATTCCAATTCTTGGTTATTTGCGTAGGGAAATCCTGCCCTGGGTGATGAGGAAGTAGAGCACCCGGCTTGCAACAGCATGCTTGGAAAGTTGGGGATTGTCAACAGGGCTTGGGTGGAGCACACCCTGCTTTAGCCAAACAGCAGTTAAAACTGCAGAGAGCCAGGAGGGGGCGCACACCGAGGATCCCAGCCCTGGGGAGGCAGAGGCCAGCCTGGTCTACAAAGTGAGTCCAGGGCAGCCAAGGCTACACAGAGAAACCCTGTCTTGAAAAACCAAAACCAAAACAACAACAACAAAGGAACCCTAGCAGGTATGCATGTGCTAAAATGGCTAGACATACTCCAAGACACACTAGAATATAAGCCAAGTCTTACAATATGGCAGTGTGACAGCATAAAAACTACACATTCATCCTAAATACATGTACGGTTTTCCCTTGGACACTCCCCTACCCACTGGGAACCAAAATCTGCAGATGCTCAAGTTTCTTACTATAAATGGCACGGTATCTGCATGTAACTTAACCATATCTTCCTGTAGACTCTAAACCCTCCTAGATGATGCCTAAGACTTCATACCATATATATGTTATATAAATAGCATTTTAGGGAATAAAGATAAGAGTACACATGTTTAAGGCAAACATTTCTTTCTAAAGTTTTGTTTGTTTTTGAGACAGAGTCTCACTATGTAATCTTGACTGGCCTAGAACTTGCTATGTAGACCAGGTTGGCAATGGACTCACAGAGATCTGCTTATTTCTGCCCCCCCCCCCCCAAGTATTAGGATTAAAGGTGTACACCACCATACCTGGCCTCCTGTAGCTCAGGTTAGCTTCAGACTCGTTAGGCAGCCAAGGTTGATCATTAACTTTTGATCATCTTGCTTCTATCTCCTAAATTCCACAGTTAAAGGCATGTATGATTATGCCCAGTTGCATGTGGTTCTGGAAATGGAGTCCAGGGCCTCATGCATCCTAGGCAAGCATTCTGTATCAACTAAGCTACATGCCCAGCACTCTGTCCTCACTTCCAGCCCCCTTTTACTTTGAGACGAGGTCTTGCTTTGTGATTACCTGACAGGTCTGGAACTCATTACATAGACCAGTCTGTCTTTCCATTTGTGGATATCATCTTGATTCTACTGCCTGAGTGCTGAGAGTATAGGTGTGTCTAACAATGTGGTCCTTCCCTGCCAAGTTTGTTAACACACACACACACACACACACACACACACACACACACACACCAACCAACCAACCAAAACAAAACAAAGCAAAGCAAAGCAAAGCAAAGCAAAATAAAAAAATCCAAACACATAGAATTTGCACTTGGCAATGAGGCAGATCTGGAAGGACCAGCCTGACAATGGGTTATCTATATATCCTGTGGGCGAGTAGAGGTGTTAAGATCAAGGTTTTGGTAGAGGGATTTGGCTCTTATTTGTGCAGTTCTCTGGCTTTTGCGCAGGAACTTCTTGTGTCATCAGAAGTGAGTGTGGCGCTGCCAATGGAGTGTGCATGTGTGTAGAGTGAGAAGGCAGACTGGAGCTCTTACACTCTTACCTGCAGAAGGCCTGCAAACTTGACCACTCCCCAGCCAAGTCTGGACACATCAGGCTCCACCAGGCTCATCTGGTAAATATCCACAGCCAAGAAGCGCTGGACCATGCCACCGTCCTTGGTGATGACTGTGCATGCAATCAAGTCGCTGTTATCTAGGAGGAGGGAGCAGAGAGCAGAATAAGGCCTAGCTCAGCTACCCAACTGTCTCTTGAGGGGTCCAGCACCACACAGAACTGGGTTTGAGTGCCTCGTTAGCCAATTCTGCCAGGACAGTTTCTTCACCTCTTTAAACCTCAGATTCTTTGTGTTCTGAAAGCAATGCTTAGTACAAGTTATACAAAGCACACAAACCACTCTGTATTGTACATAAGCTATAGTTTGAAAATAGCTAACAACTGAGTTGGGGTAGAAGCACCTGGAATGCATGAGACCCTGTAGTTTACAGGTATGACGATGGTTTTTGCTTATGTGAAGATAGGAAACAAGAACCCCGCTCCCTGCAACAGCACCACCAGTCCTCAATTCAGTGTCTGGCAACTTAGAGGCCAGCTCTGAACTAAGTGGGGTGTGACCCTTGGCCAGGCATTTGACACCTCTGAACCATGGCTTTCCTTCTGTGAAATGGAAAGAAGGTCCCTTATCTCAGGATATTTGGTACAGAAAACAATAGGTGCTAGGAAGGCATTCAGTCTGAAATAGCACACAGGGCTCTTGAGCACATCCTAGATCCCTTTTTCTACTTGAAATTTATACTCAAACCGTCCAGTGAAACCTCCTTTCCTTTATATTTGCAATGTGATAGCCAAACCAGAAAAACCCCACATATCCCCAAATAAGGGGACAGCTTGACCCTGACTTTTTCCATAAGATAAAAGATTATAAACCTGTGTCACAATACTATAATTAATTAAGCTCTTAACATCAGCTGTCTGTGAGAAGAAAATTAGGAACTGAAATGGGTGAGTGTGTAAGGGAGCACTAGAATTAATGGCAGAACTTCCATTTAAAATAATTGCTTTTTATTACATTCATTTAATTATGTGAATGCATGTACACTCATCCCACCATGTGTGTGAAGGCCAGAGGACAACTTGTGGGAGTTAGCGCCTTCCTTCCACTATGTAGGCTGAGAACTGATCACAGGTCTCAGTCTTGGCAGCAAGTGCTTTTACCCACTCAGTCATCTTCTTGCCAGAACCCTATTTATTTTTTGAGACAGGGCCTCACTATTTAGCCATGGCTAACCTGAAACTTGCTTAGTAGATGAGGCTGGCCTCAAACTCAAAGATTCACTAGCCTCTGCTTCCAGATGCTGAGATTAAAAGCACGAGCTACCATGCCTGGTCATGTTTTTTTATTACACATAGCATTTGATTGCTTAAAATTACTGCCCCACCCTGCTTCTTCTTCTTCTTCTTCTTTTTTTTTTTTTTTGAGACAGGGTTTTTCTGTGTAACAGAGCCCTAACTGTCTCGGACTCACTTTGTAGACCAGCTTGTCTTCAACTCAAGAGATCCACCTGTCTCTCCTCCCAAGTGCTGGGATTAAAGGCGTGTGCCACTACGCCTGGGAAATTACTTTTAAATGAGGAAGCATTTAAGATGTGCTTTTGAAAAACAACAACAACAACAACAACAAAAAACTAAGTCTAGAGATGTAGCTTAGTGATAGAGTAGTACTCACCTAGCAAGCTCAAAAAGGTAATTTGACTCCTGTTAGCACTCACGTGCACAGACAACGCTCATGTGAGGTTAGGGAGGCTGTAGTGCAGTGGCATAGCATTTGCCTAAAATGTGTGAGGCTCTATCTAGTTTTGGGTTTGAGTACCAGTCCTGGTGTGTGGGCTATTTATAAACTACGACAGTGGGTGACATTATAATTTTAAATGAAAAAGAGAGTAGAACATTTAGTTTCATGATTTTGAGATGTGAGAAAAGTATTTCTACAAAGAATTATAAATCTCCTTGCAAAGGGAAAGGTAACAAAGGGGTTACATTCTAGCTCCAAACACAAATGGCAACAAACTTGGACTTGGGCATTGTCTAAGGGCACTCTACCCCACACAAATCATTTTCCACTTTCCAACTGGCCTGAGGACCAGAGCGAAATCTCCCTGCTTCTCTCTTTGGGCCACCACAGGATGGTACATTTTCAGTTGGCTCTTTGAGATAAAAGTTGTCTGTAAACCTGGTTTCTGAATGTTTCTAAAGCTTATGTTTCCAGAATATTCTCCCTGCATTTTTTTTTTTTTTTAATGTGCTTTATGCTTCCAGCTTCCATCTCCTCTTTGGTATATGGCATCTGGGATAGTCACATTTCCTGAAGCAAATTTGCTAGCCCAAATTGGTATACTTGCCTAAACTTATCATTTCTTGTTATCTCCGGCAAGAATCTCCTTTTTCATCCCAGTTTTCTGGCCAAGGATACATAACTTGTAGAAAGGGTCTTGCATGTATTCTAGATCCACCTCAAACTCATTGGGGAGCATAGGCTGTCCTCCAACTCAAGGTCCTGCCTCCCAAGTGCTGCGATCAAGGCATGAGCCACCAGGTCTGGTTTTTATTTGACCCTGATATTTTTTTCTTTCTCTTAAAATTTTTTTTGGTGGTGTGCATCTCTCTGCGTGTGTATGTGCAGTGCATATGCACATGGATGCCAGGGTCAAGCTTGGATGCCATCCTTCAAGAGACACCCACCTTGTTTTGAAGGTCAGGGTCTCTCACTGGGATCTGGGGCTCAAGAATAAAACTAGGCTGGCTTGCCAGTGAGTTCCAGCTATCCACCATCCTCTGCCTACGCAGGGCTGGGATGATGAGTGCACACTACTCACAGCCAGGGGAATGGACACAAGTCCTAATGTTTGCAAGACAAGTACTTTACCATCTCCTCAATCCCCTTGATCTTAGAGTCTTAATTCTATATTGCACGGAGTTCTCTTGTCTTTTTAGTTATCAGGTGTGAAAGCCATCTTACTTACTTTTGGTATCTTATTTGTAGTAGATGGGGTTTATTTCCTTTACTCAATATTTAAAATATTTCTCAATGGAAATCTTCTATTTTTAAAAATGTGAACAAAGCCAGGCATTGTGGTGCATGCCTTTAATCCTAGTACTTGGGAGGCAGAGGCAAGTGCATCTATGAATTTGAGGTCATCGTGGTCTACAAAGTCAGTTCCAGGACAGCCTGGGCTACACAGAGAAATCCTGTCTCCAAAAAACCAAACCAGAACAAAACAAAGCTAACACCAATCACAAACCAAACAAAAAGCCCACACCGAAAACAAAGAAACAACTACAAAACAAAGCCCCAAACCCTGCATCTGCATTTTCTCTCCCTTTTCCATCCTCTTTTCTCTCCCCTGCCTACACCACCATCAGGACAACACGTCGTTTTCTATCCTTGCACTTGTGGAAAAACTGGTTGGAAGGTCAGACCTATTACAATGATGGTGACATGGGGCTTTTGGGCATGGTGGGGCTCACTGACAGGCAGCCTGGCTGCCCCACAGCGCTGAGCTGTCTTAGCGGTTTCAGGGAAAAAGAACCACTAAGAGCAACAAAAAAAAGGAAGGACAAAACACCAAAGCGGAACAGCTTTCAGAGATGTCTCTGAGACATCAAAGCCCCATGCAGACATGGTATTTCTTAAGAAACGAGGGTGTAGTGTGCAGCTGAGGGAACAGTGGAGCAGGCACAGAAGGAAACAAGTGGCACCATCCTTGAGGGGAGCAAGGAAATACTGGCTGGGAGTTACTTGCATGTGGGCCTCTTGAGTGTTACTTTAGGAAGTCTTGCCCCAACTGGACTGCCCCACATGCCAGTTATGAGCATTCCCATTTGGAGGTCTCAGATTTAGAAGGAGTCTGGAGAGCTGCTGAGTGGAACCCTAGTTTGTCCAGGGTCTGCATCTTTCAGGAGAGTAGGTATGGATTCTTCTTGGAGTCATAAAAGAGGAAGCCAGCTTGTTGAGACCTTGTGAAGGATGGGGGCATGCAGGAGGAATTCAGTAGCAGGCAGCTCTGCCCTAGGGTATGGCAGCCTCAGGTGCTTTCCTGTATGGCTCGGTATAGGTGACCCAAGTTCTTCCAGTCACTTAAGCATGGCATGTTCCAGATCTCAGTGTCTACCTCACTTTCCTGGAACCCCCCCCCCCTCTAGTTCCAAAGGGTTGGACGGGGTAAAGCTGCTTGCTGCTAAGCCTGATGACCTGAATTTAGTCCTTAGAACTCAGATGGTGGAAGAAGAGAACCAATTCCTAGAAGTTGTTCTCTGACCTCCTCTCATGTGCTATGACATATGTATGAACCCCCCCTCAACCACATCAGTAATTGTAAACAATATAATTACAAAAGACTGAAGGAGCTATGCATGATAGCATAATAACACCTGTAATCCCAGCTATATTGGAAGCTGACACAGGAGAACTGCAAGGTCAAATCACCCTGGAAAACTTTGTGTATGTAAAAAACAGCTGGGGCCACATAGCTCAAAAACAATAACAGAAACAATAGCAGAAAACAATAAGAGATTATTCATGTGATCTTCATGGCAAAAGATGAACTGCGTAACAGCAGTGAAAGACACAGATGATGCGTGAAGACAGCCAATGAATACAAAAAGATGAACCATGTAACGGCAGTGAAGGGACACAGATGGTACATGAAGACAGCCAAGGAACACAAAAAGGTATCCGCCCTCATGAGAAGCCAGGATAAGAAGCAAAACAAGATACCATCTTCTACCCTTGTGCTGGCAGTAAGAATTGTTTGATAATATCAGGTGTTGCTGAGGATACAGAGAAACTGGCACTGTCAAAGGCTGATGGGAGGAGAACAAATGAGTACAGCCGTTTTGAAGGGCAAATTAGCATTATTCATTAAAACTGAAAGTTTCACAACCTATGACCCAGAAATTGCTATTTTCCCAAGAAAAACACTCAGCTGCGTGGGCCAAGAGCTGTGCCCAGGTATGCCAAGGGCCTGCATTTGTGAGAACCTAAATGTTTAGAAGCAAGTGAGAACCTGAGTAAAACAGGTTCATTTTACTTGGTGTGAAAATCTCAAGATCATACTGGCATGGGGAAAAAGCCAGCTGTGGAGTGATTTAGCTTATATGCTGCTACTGTATACTAAAAAGCGAGACTAACTGGCTTG